TACCACTAACGGAACGTTGTTACACGTTTCTTCGAACGCGTTGCTCGTACTCCCGAATCTACTAATCACGCTTCGCGCTTTTGCAACGGTCGTTTCGTTTCGCTTCGCGCTTGGCACGTCCCAGCTCGTGGATTCTCGCTCACGCTTGTTTCGCGGGATTACTATCTCGTAGACACGTCATCTGGAAACGGCACACGTAATTCGGCCCGTACAGTCCTGTCACGGTCACCAGTGTTTGCGGGTTGTAGCCCTGGCCGTGCGCCCTAGCTATCGGATGCAGACGTTCCCCGTGTCGTCACGCACATCGCCCCGACAACGCATCCCCAAGATTACCGGTTTTTGCGTTTTCTCCCCTACTAACCACTGTAGCCGGACGGAGGATCGACATTAACCACACGCCCTCGAGATCATTAATTATCACGGTCGCCACTCGATTTTAACCTCGGCCTATCGAGAAAGATACTAATGAATGACCAACCTTTCGCTGACTTTGCTAATTCCCTTCTCTACGACTCTGTTTCAGCTCCCATCTGTCTCCGGATCGACCCGCTGGACCTGTTGGACCTCTCCGTTCAAGGGACTTCCTTCGCTTCTGCTGGACAGCACCGCTTGGCTGGGCCTCAGCCTCTGTGCGTGTTCGTCGATGGAGGATTTCGGGCGGCCGACAGGCAAGATTACGATTGGGATAGGTATGTTGTGCCCTCCTTTTACGGCGGGACACAATGGGATCGTTTATCCACGGAGAAGGCGGGATTGATTATCAACACTTTTCAATAAATGACAACTTTAATTAATCACTCTGCGTACAATCGTTATTCGCGTTTGACGCCCGTTACTGCTCTGCTCCCTGACTCCGATTGCCCTCTCGTCTCCTGTTGTCGCCTCCTTTTGAATCCTCGTCCTGTCCTTCGGTATCGCTGAGTTGCTCGATCGTATTTGGGCCGATCGCGCAACTCATCTTTTGCCGATTCGGCGTTGCGTAATTCTCTCGGGCTTTCGCGGTCGCGTTCCTTATTGTTATTCTTGGTCTTTCTTAATACTATTCTTATTTTATTATTACATTTTAATTGGGGCCGCAACATCCCTCCCCCTTTGATAAAAGGAAACTACGGTCTGTAGTTTTCGTTACAATTTTTTCGCTGCTTATCCTATTTCTATTTCTATTTGGGTGGTTTAGTTTCTTTATTATTTTTGTACGGTTACATTTTTCTTGTCTTTTAATATAGTATTGCTGAGTCGCCCTGTACGTGCGGTCGGGCGCTTGCTCGTTTCTTATGTCCTTTTATTACATAGATGATTATTCCTACTATGCTTAATATAATTATTAGCGTAAGTGTCGATCCTACAGGATATATGACATAGGGATTTTTTATTAGGGTGTCTTGGGATTTTTCCAATTCTTTATTTATGTCGCTTATTTCTAGACTTAATTCCATTAATTCGTTCGGATTTCTAATTACAGGTTCTAATCTAATTTCTTTTTTCGCTTGTTCGTTAATATTTTTATTTTTGTTTGTTAGCGTTAGGTTAAAATCTGTTAAGTGCATTTCTATTTGTCTCATAGTCGTTTGTCTTTTTGTTTTTATAATAATGTCGGGTGTGGTTAGTTTACAATTTTCGATTATACTTAGTTTCCCTGTTCTTTTTATTTCTATTTTTTGTTCTGCCTGTTCATTACATTGAATCGTCAGCTGTTGTTTTTTCGGCGTTGAGAATAGCCACGTTTGTGGTTCGCTTAATGTTATCCATAAGGTTACGTTTGACAGTATTTGACGTTTCTCGCAGGTGTTTACATATCCTGGCGTTTTTACGTAAACTTGTACTTCGCATGGTGCGTCGGCTTTTACAAAATATACCGGGTAGTTTCGGTTACATACATATTTTATGCCGGGATTACGATGAACGGGACGCGACGGGACGCGACGGGACGCGACGGAACGCGACGGAACGCGACTGGACGCGACGAAACGCGACGGGACGTTATCGCCGTAACGTGAAACAGCGTGCATTGAAAAATGATTCGACAGCGTAGCGTGAATAGAAGGTTATTCTCGTTGGTAACTACCGTTCTTGCTTGGTAATTCCAAATGAATTCTGCTATGAGGCATTATCAGTTTCTTAACTTAATTTTGGCCGGATATTTGTATCTTCAACTGCGGAAGAAGAAACGAGTACGAACCGTTGGTGTGAGAGAGATTTTTCGGAGAAGAACCCAGTTTGGTGATGGACATAACTTACTTGAAGAACTCCGTTTCCGTGATCCACTCTTTTTTTTTATTTACACAAGGATGAATGTCGAAAGGTAAGATTTAATGATTGCCTAGTACAAAATATAATCATTTTTACAAGTTAATGTCTGCTTTCCTACATTCTGGTACCTCTTGATCTTGCTTGGTCTACTGATAAAGAAGCGCAAAAGATAAATATTTTTCTGGCAGAGAGTTTATTTTTACAAATTATATGTTTGCTTTCTTAGATTCGAGTATCTCCTGAGCTTGGTTGGTCCACTGATAAAGAAGCGAGAAATGTACACTGCTCTTTCACCCACTCAGAGGCTTGCTATGACATTGAGGTAAGATAATCAATGTTCGCTTATCTTATCAATTTCTCAGGAGACGATTCAATTTGTAAATTTGCTTTGCAGGTTCTTGGCAGCAGGAGACAGTCAGTATTCTCTGAGCTTTTCATATCGATGTGGCCAGAGCACAGTCTCTCAGATCCTGGCCGAAACAACTCGAGCACTTGTAAGTGTATTAAAGAGTGTATTTGTAAACCCCCCAGCAAATGAAGCGGAGTGGCGTGAGGTGAGTGCCGGATTTTGGGAAGAATGGCAGTTTCCTCATTGTGTGGGGGCCATCGATGGGAAGCACGTTCAAGTACAGGCCCCACAAGCTTCCCAAAGTGTTTATTTTAATTACAAGAAGACATTTAGCATGGTTCTATTGGCAGTTTGTGATGCACACTACAATTTCATCATGCTGGATGTAGGAGCAGAAGGCTCACAAAGTGATGGCGGAGTTTTTCAATCGTCTGAAATGGGTCGGCGATTGAATGATGGATCCCTTAACTTGCCGAATTCAAGTCACTTACCAGGAACTGATGTTGACATGCCCTACTTCCTTGTAGGAGATGCAGCTTTCCCTTTGAAACCTTTCCTGATGAAACCTTATGGCGAGCGCAACATACCCCATGACAAGTCTGTGTATAACTTCAGGTTGAGCAGAGCAAGGAGAGTAATTGAAAATGCTTTTGGCATTTTAGCGGCTCGTTGGAGGATTTTCCGTCACTCCATTATTGCTACAGAAGACAATGTAGAAAGCATAATTGAATGTGCTGTTTGCCTCCACAATTTCATCCGCAAGACAGGCGACAGGAAACTCAACCTACAATATTGCCCTCCTTCTTTTGTGGACCAGGAATTGCCAACTGGCGAACTGGTAGAGGGAGAATGGCGTGACATTGTCGCTGGGGAGAATGGAGCCATCATTGATGGTCCACGGATGGGAGTAAGAAATGCTGCTCTTGGAATTTTACAACAGAGAGATACACTGAAAGAGTTTGTAAATGGGCCTGGGGCTATGCGCCATCAAGACGATATTGCGAGGATCCGGCAAGGAATTATCCCCCTTCAGTAGCTGTAGATTTCGATAATTTGTCTAGTGTAATTTATTATTATTTTGCGTCATCATATATGTTGTTTCTCGCTTTTATTGATCAAAAGTTGTTCAGTTGCGTTCGCCGCAAGTGTATATATTACTGTACTTTATACTTTTTTTTTTACTGTACTTTTTTTTAATCAACCGGATATCTCAAATTGGAGAGAAATTCGAAAAGATTCCGAAGAAAGGTACAAGGGAACAAAAAATTCTCCATTCCATTTTTCAATTCTCTTTTTGGTTTTGTTGGTATTGGGTTCGCTATCACGATTACTGAATGGACTCACAATTATTCGCTTTCGATATCGCGGATACCTTTTAATTAATTCGACATACATAGAACGATAATGTCATGAGATCTACGCTTACGACCATGATATTTGAAATAAAATAAATAGAAATACGAAACATAATAAAATTGTGTTTTTATTGAAACACAAAGGAAACGTTTTTATTTTCAAATAAAACTCATTTCGTAAAACCTCTAACAATACACAATATTTAAATCGAACAATAAAGTAATATGTTAAAACACGTAATTAATTCGGTACTTCCGGTACTTTTAAATCTTCAGCCTCCTCTTCACAATCTTGAATGATAGATCTAAATTTCCTCCTGTACTTCAGTTTCAATCCCATATTTGTTAGACTCTTGAGGCAAGATTCAACACTTTTGCCAATCAAGACGTCTGGATCATTAATATTAATTAAAGGTGGTGGAGCAGCAGTACTAGATGTAGCCATAGATTTGTTCAGATTGACGAGAGTCTCTTTGAACATTTCAGCCGTTTCGTCCACCTTTGCCTTCTTGCACCGACCTGTAGGTCCTAAGTAGGGCAAGCTTGCAGCAGCTGATGATGATCTACACTCAGGTGAAGGTGGCGAGGGAGGAGAGCAGGTAGCAATCACTCTATATGGAGCACTATCATCATCCACAGCCTGCTCGCTCAATATTGTTGCTATGCTGCCTGAAGATGCCAATGACGGCGGAAGCGACAGCTCTTCATCTGTTGGCGACAAAGTTGGTAAAGATGTGGCTGCGGACATCGACGCCTTTGGTGGGAAATTATTCACAGATCTGCATCGAAAATAAAAAAATTACCCACCCGGGAAAAAAAAGGTTATATATAATTATATATAATTATATATAAATACATATGATTATATATGTGATTATATATGAAATTTGATTATATATGATTATATATAATTATACAGGCGATTGAAATATATTTAAGTATATATAAAAGGTTTATATACATTTTGACATATTATATATAAGTTCATATAATTTATATATAAATTTTATATAAGAAGCATTTATCCATGTAAATTATATATAATAATGGCCGGGCAATTATTCGAAAATACGATCAAAGACGCTTTATTAGTAGAGTGTGTGCGGGCGCATCCTGAAATATATGATAAGGCACATGCAGGATATAAGAATGTCGGATTAAAAGACTCTGCATGGAAGAGTGTGGCCGAAACAATAAATGGTAAGTTGTTGCAGTTATGTTGCATTTTCCTTGATTGGAAACAGTTTATATATGTTTCCTATATCTTTTGTGTCATGATTTTAGCATCGGTCATGGATTGTACGGCCAGGTGGCATACTCTTCGCGATAGGTTTGTGAAGGAGAAGCGTATTCTTGAGCAGGAGGGGAGGTCTGGAGCAGCGGCCTCAACCCGTCCAGAATGGCCCCTTTACAATGTCATGTCGTTTCTGACACCTCACATTAGAAAAAGAAAGTAAGTTTAGTATATGGTGATTTGTGAATTTATTCTACGTATTTTCGAATAATTGCCCGGCCATTATTATATATAATTTACATGGATAAATGCTTCTTATATAAAATTTATATATAAATTATATGAACTTATATATAATATGTCAAAATGTATATAAACCTTTTATATATACTTAAATATATTTCAATCGCCTGTATAATTATATATAATCATATATAATCAAATTTCATATATAATCACATATATAATCATATGTATTTATATATAATTATATATAATTATATATAACCTTTTTTTTCCCGGGTGGGTAATTTTTTTATTTTCGATGCAGATCTGTGAATAATTTCTCACCAAAGGCGTCGATGTCCGCAGCCACATCTTTACCAACTTTGTCGCCAACAGATGAAGAGCTGTCGCTTCCGCCGTCATTGGCATCTTCAGGCAGCATAGCAACAATATTGAGCGAGCAGGCTGTGGATGATGATAGTGCTCCATATAGAGTGATTGCTACCTGCTCTCCTCCCTCGCCACCTTCACCTGAGTGTAGATCATCATCAGCTGCTGCAAGCTTGCCCTACTTAGGACCTACAGGTCGGTGCAAGAAGGCAAAGGTGGACGAAACGGCTGAAATGTTCAAAGAGACTCTCGTCAATCTGAACAAATCTATGGCTACATCTAGTACTGCTGCTCCACCACCTTTAATTAATATTAATGATCCAGACGTCTTGATTGGCAAAAGTGTTGAATCTTGCCTCAAGAGTCTAACAAATATGGGATTGAAACTGAAGTACAGGAGGAAATTTAGATCTATCATTCAAGATTGTGAAGAGGAGGCTGAAGATTTAAAAGTACCGGAAGTACCGAATTAATTACGTGTTTTAACATATTACTTTATTGTTCGATTTAAATATTGTGTATTGTTAGAGGTTTTACGAAATGAGTTTTATTTGAAAATAAAAACGTTTCCTTTGTGTTTCAATAAAAACACAATTTTATTATGTTTCGTATTTCTATTTATTTTATTTCAAATATCATGGTCGTAAGCGTAGATCTCATGACATTATCGTTCTATGTATGTCGAATTAATTAAAAGGTATCCGCGATATCGAAAGCGAATAATTGTGAGTCCATTCAGTAATCGTGATAGCGAACCCAATACCAACAAAACCAAAAAGAGAATTGAAAAATGGAATGGAGAATTTTTTGTTCCCTTGTACCTTTCTTCGGAATCTTTTCGAATTTCTCTCCAATTTGAGATATCCGGTTGATTAAAAAAAAAGTACAGTAAAAAAAAAAGTATAAAGTACAGTAATATATACACTTGCGGCGAACGCAACTGAACAACTTTTGATCAATAAAAGCGAGAAACAACATATATGATGACGCAAAATAATAATAAATTACACTAGACAAATTATCGAAATCTACAGCTACTGAAGGGGGATAATTCCTTGCCGGATCCTCGCAATATCGTCTTGATGGCGCATAGCCCCAGGCCCATTTACAAACTCTTTCAGTGTATCTCTCTGTTGTAAAATTCCAAGAGCAGCATTTCTTACTCCCATCCGTGGACCATCAATGATGGCTCCATTCTCCCCAGCGACAATGTCACGCCATTCTCCCTCTACCAGTTCGCCAGTTGGCAATTCCTGGTCCACAAAAGAAGGAGGGCAATATTGTAGGTTGAGTTTCCTGTCGCCTGTCTTGCGGATGAAATTGTGGAGGCAAACAGCACATTCAATTATGCTTTCTACATTGTCTTCTGTAGCAATAATGGAGTGACGGAAAATCCTCCAACGAGCCGCTAAAATGCCAAAAGCATTTTCAATTACTCTCCTTGCTCTGCTCAACCTAAAGTTATACACAGACTTGTCATGGGGTATGTTGCGCTCGCCATAAGGTTTCATCAGGAAAGGTTTCAAAGGGAAAGCTGCATCTCCTACAAGGAAGTAGGGCATGTCAACATCAGTTCCTGGTAAGTGACTTGAATTCGGCAAGTTAAGGGATCCATCATTCAATCGCCGACCCATTTCAGACGATTGAAAAACTCCGCCATCACTTTGTGAGCCTTCTGCTCCTACATCCAGCATGATGAAATTGTAGTGTGCATCACAAACTGCCAATAGAACCATGCTAAATGTCTTCTTGTAATTAAAATAAACACTTTGGGAAGCTTGTGGGGCCTGTACTTGAACGTGCTTCCCATCGATGGCCCCCACACAATGAGGAAACTGCCATTCTTCCCAAAATCCGGCACTCACCTCACGCCACTCCGCTTCATTTGCTGGGGGGTTTACAAATACACTCTTTAATACACTTACAAGTGCTCGAGTTGTTTCGGCCAGGATCTGAGAGACTGTGCTCTGGCCACATCGATATGAAAAGCTCAGAGAATACTGACTGTCTCCTGCTGCCAAGAACCTGCAAAGCAAATTTACAAATTGAATCGTCTCCTGAGAAATTGATAAGATAAGCGAACATTGATTATCTTACCTCAATGTCATAGCAAGCCTCTGAGTGGGTGAAAGAGCAGTGTACATTTCTCGCTTCTTTATCAGTGGACCAACCAAGCTCAGGAGATACTCGAATCTAAGAAAGCAAACATATAATTTGTAAAAATAAACTCTCTGCCAGAAAAATATTTATCTTTTGCGCTTCTTTATCAGTAGACCAAGCAAGATCAAGAGGTACCAGAATGTAGGAAAGCAGACATTAACTTGTAAAAATGATTATATTTTGTACTAGGCAATCATTAAATCTTACCTTTCGACATTCATCCTTGTGTAAATAAAAAAAAAGAGTGGATCACGGAAACGGAGTTCTTCAAGTAAGTTATGTCCATCACCAAACTGGGTTCTTCTCCGAAAAATCTCTCTCACACCAACGGTTCGTACTCGTTTCTTCTTCCGCAGTTGAAGATACAAATATCCGGCCAAAATTAAGTTAAGAAACTGATAATGCCTCATAGCAGAATTCATTTGGAATTACCAAGCAAGAACGGTAGTTACCAACGAGAATAACCTTCTATTCACGCTACGCTGTCAAATCATTTTTCAATGCACGCTGTTTCACGTTACGGCGATAACGTCCCGTCGCGTTTCGTCGCGTCCAGTCGCGTTCCGTCGCGTTCCGTCGCGTCCCGTCGCGTCCCGTCGCGTCCCGTTCATCGTAATCCCGGCATTACTCCGTTTCGTTTACGGTCGTTTAAATCGCGTTCCTCTAGCGTTATGTAATTATGATTCTCTTTATCTATTGCTAATATGTTGTGAGTATTTCTTAGGAATGTGAAAATATTCGCGTGGTTATGGACAGGTAATGGTGTCGTTTTTATTATGTCATACACGGGGTATGCTACCACGGGAAATTTGATTATCGTGTAAATGTTCGATTTATCATAATATGCGTTAATTTCTACATAGTTTTGTATCTCGTTCCAATTTTCTAATCTAGTTTTAAAAGGAAAGTGGGATCCATGCGTCAATTGTGACGTTGCCTCTTTTAGTTCGGTTATTATTTTTTCTATTGGTAATAGGCGGGTGAGTATTACTCCTTCCCGCGAATATGTGAGGTAGTCTATCGTGTCTTTCACGTCTTCCATTAGATCCTCTGTAATTGTGGTTAGTATTAAAAGCTGTTCGTCTATTTCTTCTCTTTTGGCGTACAGTGCTGTGTCCAGCTGTATCCGTCTCGTGACGTTCGTCATCAGTTGTTCGTTGTGGTATAACGATTTTTCTAAGGCCTCCATGTGGCCTATCGTGGCATTTATCACCTTTAATTGACTTTTTGCGGTGTGCCGTAGAGTCTGTTGCTGATTTTGTATCAGTTCAAGCTGCTCCTGTATGTGTTTTGCGTCGTCGGCATCCATAGTGCCGAACAGCGTTTTGCTGATCGTGCCAATCGCGTCTATTAAACCTCGTTTATTATTATTGGTTTTATATATAGTCTGTAATCGCCTTAATAGTTGCGTTAATTTTTTGTTATTTTTCTCTATCGTATGGAGAATGTTTTTGCACGTCTGCTGCGTGTCCTTTGCGATTATCGTTTCGCATACTTCTTCGGCTTGCTGTAGAAATTCCTGAAGTTGGTGATATCGGTTTCCTAGGGCGGCTACGTCGATTTTAATCACTAGTTTCCATGTCGCTTCTACCTGTTGCAATTGTCCGGTTCTCTCAAAGTATATTCCCGGCTCGCTGCTGAATTGTCGTATCTCGTACGATGGTGCTGTCTCAGGTTTCGTTTTTTTCGCGAAGTGCTGGACGACGATCAGCGTCCTGTAAGATAAGGACTCATGTTACCTTTCTTCGAATTTTTACCTTGGCTTAATAATGCCTTCTCCTCGCGTTTTTTCTCTCCTCGCGCGTTTAGTTGCTCTTGAGACGTAGTCCAGAGTACCTTAATCAATTTTATTAAAATGCGGTGCATTCAGTGTAACTTATTTTTCGCGCCGGCGTCTTGTGACGCTTGCATGCGTAGTTATTGGTTGAGGGCGGCGCGAGCGGGTGCCGTCAGTTTGCCTAGTGCGTCTACTACTAGTGCGGAAGCGGGGCCCTCCTCGTCTCGCTCGCCCCCTCCCTCCTATATGGAAGCGGTTTTAACACCCCCGGGCACGTGGGTGCTTACCCAGCCCTTGGAGGTCACGTTGTATGTGGCCACTGGTCGACGTGTGGTGCGGATGATCCGCCGTGATTGATGTTCGGTAAGTACATATTATCTTATCTTCTTTAGTTTTTACTATCGCCTATTTTTTCTTGCCTACTTTCTATTGCTTGTTTTTGTTCTCTTACGCTGTTTTTACTGTTCTATAAAGGGCTTTAATCGGTTTACGTGTACTCGCGTGGTTTTCCGTCCCTTTTTGATCGTGTAATTGACGTCTGAATGTTTTTCGATTATTTCATATGGTCCTATCCACGGGGATTCTAATTTTTTCGATCTCTCTCTACGCACCGTTTCGTCGTGCAAGAGAACTTTGTCTCCCACTCGAAAATTGATTTCTTTTGTCTTTTTATCATACGTCTCCTTGGCCTTAGATTTTTCGTTTCGCAAATGTTCCTTTGCAACTCGTTGTGTCGCTCTTAATTTTTCTTTTAGCTCTTGCGCGTAATCGTCATAAGTATACGTTGGTTTTGGTGGTTGCGACAGTGCCGTCGGTAGTGTCGCTCGGTGCCCGTATACTAATTCAAAGGGTGTAAATCCGGTCGCCGTGTGTGGCGTCGTGTTATACGCGAACATTGCGTATGGCGTCCATTCGTCCCAGTCTGTCTGGTCCGCGTTAATATAATGTCGCAAGTATTCGGCTAATGTTCTATGAGAGCGTTCCAATGCTCCATTACTCTCGGGATGGTAGGCCGTTGTTTGAATTTTTTCTATTTTTAATAATTTACACGTGCTTTTAAATATCTCGCTAAGGAAATTCGTTCCTCTATCCGTCAGTATTTTGTCGGGGATACCGTATTCAAAGATAATCTTTGTGACAAATTCTTTCGCGATTGTATTCGCTTTTTGATTAGGTACGGGTATCGCTTTACTGAATTTTGATAAATTATGCTAAAACGTGAGGATATATTTATTTCCGTTTTCGGTCACCGTCAGTGGTCCTACTATATCTAGAGCACATTTTTCGAACGGTTTGTCCGCGGTGTCTGTTATTACTAAGGGTGCTTTATTTTTCCGCGATAACTTGTTCTTCTGACATAGTTCGCATTTATTAATGTAATCTTCGACGTCTCGAGTTAATCCTCTCCAATTATGCGTCAACCTTATTCGGTTTATGGTGCGTTCCACACCCTAATGTCCTCCTACAGGTGCATCATGGTATTCGTATAATATACGTTGCTTCTCTTCTTCTGTGTATTTTCTTTCGCTCTCCTCTTCGTTATTCTCTTCCTTCTTTATCTTGTTGATATCTGTCGGCACATGTCGACTCAGCGCATCTGCGTTTCTATTCTCTTGACCGGCCTTGTGTACGATAGTGTAATCGTATTCTTCTAATTTCAATCTCCATCGGATTAATCGTGATCCGGGGTCCTTTACGTTAAATAGCCAAACCAATGATTTATGGTCTGTCACTATGGTAAATTTTGTTCCATAAACGTATGGTCGGAAGTGTTTCACCGCCCATACTATCGCTAGTAATTCTTTCTCGGTAGTATTGTAATTTTGCTCGGCTTTAGATAGTACTCTGCTCGCATACGCCACGGGTTGATCTTGACCTATCTTTCCCTGTGACAGTATGGCTCCTATTGCGTAATCTGATGCGTCGGTCGTTACTACAAACTTCTTGGGAGAAGTCCGGGTATTTTAATACCGGTGCTGTAGTTAGTTTTTCTTTAAGTATTTCAAATGCGTTTTGTTGTTCTGCGTTCCACTCGAATTTGATATCTTTTCTGGTCATTTTTGTGAGTGGCTTGGCGATTGCTGAAAAATCTTTAATAAATCTTCGATAATATCCGGCTAATCCTACGAAAGCCTGGATGTCCTTTACCTTTGTTGGTCTCGGGAAGCTTTTTACTGCTTCTAATTTTGAAGAGTCTGGCGAGATTCCGTTTTCTGTTATTACATGTCCGAGATACGTCACTTCTTTCCGAAGAAATTCGCATTTATCGGGCTGTAATTTCAAATTATATTTTCTCAGTCTTTTTAGCACTTTAATTAATCTCTTATTGTGCTCTTGCAAACTTGCTCCGTATACTATTATATCGTCTAGATAGACTAAGCATTGTAATCCTACTAGACCTGCTAAAACGGCTATTATTGCTCGTTGAAATGTCGCTGGGGCATTTTTCAATTCAAAAGGCATTCGATTATACTCGTAATGTCCGTATTGTGTCGAGAACGCTGTTTTTTCTTTATCTTCTTCTTCCATCGGGATTTGATGATATCCCGAGGCGAGGTCTAGCGTGGTAAAATATTTTGCTTTTCCCAGTTAGTCTAGGATATCGGTTATGTTTGGCAATGGGAAGGAATCTCCCTCCGTTAGGTCGTTCACAAACCGAAAATCTATTACCACTCTCAGTTTTAATTTTCCTGATGCGTCTCTTTTCTTTGGTACTACTAGCAACGGCGCATTTCACGGGCTCGTGCTAGGTCTAATAATTCCGTTTTTCAACATCTCTTTCACTTGTCTATTCACTTCTTCCTTGTGCTTTTCTGGCAAACGGTACGGTCGGACGTTGACCGGTACGCTGCCCGCCTTTGTGGTAATCTTATGCGCGACGATATCAGTGCATGTCAGTGGTTTTCCTTCTACATGCAATACATCGCTGTAATCTCTGCAAATTTCCATAAGGGTTTTCTTTTCTTCTTCGTTTAAGTGTTGCGTGCGTATCAATTTTTCGACTTTTTCGCTACGCGGCATTGTTTCTTCTGTTTTGTTTACTTGGTTTACTTCTATCTTTTCTGCTTCTTCTTGCTCTAACTTTTCTAATGTTACTTGCGGCATTAGCATTTTGACTGTCTTCTCCGTCGTATTTAGTATGCTTGCCGGACATAGAAAGTTTTCTGGCATCACTAGGCAATTTCCTATGAACACTCCTGGCATTGTCTCTTCTGCCTGTATTATTCCTAGTGAATTTTTATCGGTCGCAACTTGCACTATTGTCTCGCTTCGCGGTTTCAAAACCATTTTTTTATACGGATATAATTTTAATGTGCTATTCCCTATGCGTATTGCGCTTGACTCGTAACTATATGACGCTCGATGTTTCTTTATAAAATCTACGCCTAGTATTCCGTCGTATTCTATCGGAAAATCATCCTTGACGACATATATCGTGTGCTTGATCTTTTTATCTTTCAAGTCAATAGTTGCTGTAAATTTTCCAATCGTATGGGCTCTATGACCTGTTACTCCTGTAAGGGCCATTTTATCATCTTCTATCATTGTTTCGCCTTTCAAATGTTTTACTTTTATTACTGATACGGCCGCTCCGGTATCGAACAGTAAATTTATTTTTTCGCGTTTCGCTTCTCGCATGGGCAGAGTGATTAAGTCCAGCCCTGCATGCTTTCGCGGCTTGTTCGTCATGTGTGACACCTGATACTCTAACGCCGGTCGGCGCTGCTTTGTGTCCTCTTTATCTTCCTCATCGCTATTCGCGGCTGAATTACTGTCCTTTTTTCTCGGGCCATTCGTTTTCGGGTGAAAATTTTTATTTTGTCCTC